ACTCATCGTACCACTGCTGCTCTGCCTCCTACTCCACTCATTGATGTTACTATGGTTTTGGGCTCATTTTGTCCTTCTCAGGGGGCAGCTCTCCTTCGCGCTTCTGCGGAGGTCGCAAGAGGCCCCAAGATGGCCCCCCGAAGGCTCCCAAGAGGCCTCCAAGAGGCCCCCCAGACGCCGCCAAACGGCCCGAAGAGGCTCCCAAGAGGACCCCAAGAGGTCCCCAAGAGGCCCCACGAGGCCCCAAGAGGCCCCCAAGAGGCCCCCAAGAGGTCCCCGAGAGGCCCACGACGCCCCAAGAGGCCCCCAAGAGGCCCCCAAGACGCCCCCAAAAGAAGCCACACGAAGCTCCAGGAGGCCCCCAAGGGGCCCCACGAGGAGCCCGAACGACTCACATCAGGACGAGGGGCCCGAATGACTCACACCACGAAGAGGCCGAACGACTCACACCACAAGAAAGGGCCCGAACGACTCACACCAAGACGATGCGCCCGAACGACTCACACCACGAGGAGCCCGAAGGACTCACACCACGACGCGGGCCCCGAACGACTCACACCACGAGGAGCCCAAACGAGTCACACCAGGAGGAGGGGTCCGAACGACTCACACCAGGACGACGAGCCCGAACAACTCACACCACGAGGAGCCCGAACGACTCACACCAGGACGAAGAGCCCGAACGACTCACACAACGAAGAGCCCGAACGACTCACACCAGGAAGAAGGGCCCGAACGACTCAGACCAGGACGAGAAACCCCAAACGACTCAAACCACGAGGAGCGCTTTCTCTCCCTCCTCCTTCGCCTCGCCCTTCCCCCGCCCCCCCCCCCACAAGGAGGATGCACAAGGGGGCGGGGGGAAGGAGGAACAGGGGAGATATGCGGGGCCCAGCGGACACACGCCTGAAAAACACGACTGCCGGCATGCTTCGCGAGAGTTGCCGCTGTGAGATGGGCTGGCGAGGAGGGGCCCGAACGATTCACACCAGGACGAGCGGCCCGAACGACGCGCAGAAAACTCCAGAAGCATGCACGCACGAACGAACGGCCCGAACGACTCCGAGAACACCCCCCAGAAAACAAGCGGCCCGAACGAAGGAAATTGGGCCCGCCTTTCAGCCGGAACGCGGGAAGTCGTCGACATCGTCGTCGAGGGAAGGCGAACGCGGCAGGGGGGATGATGATGGTCTCCTCCTCCCCCGTGAACCGCCAGCCCCCAAAAAAAGGGCGGACCGCTCGGGCGTTTATACAAGACGCCAAAATTGAAACATTCCTGCAGGCCGCCTCTGCAGGAATTGAGGCGCAGCCCCTCCCGCAGCCGCACTGCGGGTGCGCCAGCGGGCGCGGGGGAGCGGCGGTGGCGCCAACGCGCAGTTGGTAGCTGTCCTCCTCCTCCCCCACCATCATAGCGATGATGAGAACGATGAGCATCCTACGATGATGAGGCCCTGGGTCCTGTCCCAGAGTCTCGGGCCCCGCCCTAGGCCGCGGGCCAGGCCCCCTCCCACCATCGACTCTCAACTGCGTCCGTGTTATATATAGATATATACATATACATATATATATATATATGTATTTATATATACATATCTATATATATACATATACGTCGACACACCATACATATACAAGATATACAGATATGCATCTTGCAATCGGTCAGCGGAGGCCCGACGCCGCCCAGAGCCGCCCAGCTGCCAGCAGCCAAGACGACCGCCCGGAGCGAGAGGCAGGGTCGTCGTCGTCGTCGTCGTCGTCGTCGTCGTCGTCGGGGAATACTCACTTGAAGACAAAACTTGAGACAGGACCGCAAATGATTCAGCAGAACACAAAACAACCAAGACAACATGACATTTCTGAAACGTGCGACTGCAGGATCGCCAACGGACTCTAGTGTCCATTGTCAGCTTTTGTACACATAGAAACCCTGTGGTAAGCCTTGAAGAAATCTAAAACTTGAGCCTGACAGCCTTGTATACTAGTATAGCCTGAAGATCGTGGATCCCTGGTAGGCGGAGCGAAGCTCACAGCCACACTGAAATACTGTTAGCCAGAATGGCAACAACGACGACGCTGGTCGGGGAGATCGCTGGACTCGACGACGACTACGACTCCTACTACGAAGGGCCCGAACGACTCGCACGCGGACGAGGTGCCCAAACGCCTCACACCACGAGAAGCCCCACCGACTCACACCAGGACGAGAGGCCCGAACGACTCACACCACGAAGAGCCCGAACGACTCACACCAGGACGAGGGGCCCGAACGACTCACACCAGGGCGACGCGCCCGAACGACTCACACCACGAGGAGCCCGAACGACTCACAACACGAGGAGCCCGAACGACTCACACCAGGAGGAGGGGCCCGAACGACTCACACGACGAGGATACCGAGCGACTCACACCAGGAATAGGGTCCCGAAAGACTCACACAAGGACGACGGGGCCGAAGGACTCACACAACGAGGGCCCGCACCGCCGCCTTCGTCGTCGTCGTCGTCGACGTCGTCGTCGTCGTCGTCGTCTTCGTCGCGGTTGTGGTCGTCGTCGTTGCGGTCGACATCGTCGTCGTCGTCGGGTGCGTCGTCGTTGTTCAGATCATCGCTGAGAGCGTCCTCTCCGCTGAGTCCCTCTTGCCTCCCACCGCTTTCTCTCCCTCCTCTTCCGCGCCGTCCTTCTCCCGCTGCCCCCACAAGGATGATGTACAAGGAGGCGGGAAGAAGGAGGAACAGGGGAGATATGCGGGGCCAAGCGGACACACGCCTGAAAAACACCACTGTCGGCACGCTTCGCAAGAGTTGCTGTTGTGAGATGGGCTGGTGGGGATACGCGAAGCGTAAAGAATTCAAGACGCATCAACGATGCTGCAACGCACCTTCGGGCCCCAAGGCCCCTCCCCAAAAGCCCCTACATGTGTTTTTTGGTTTTCAACTGCTGGAAGCACCCCCCCCCCGCCGACACACCTCGACAGACGAGCGCCCTGTGTGCTTGACTTTCGGGCGAGGCCACATTGCGTGAAGAATTGACTTTCCATCCTTCCAGCGATAGGAAATGCGAAGAGGTAGGGCCTTAAGGCTCGAGGAAGTGTTCAGCGGCAGCTCCGTTTAGAACAGCGTCTGCATTCATTGTCTTTACACTACGAGAAACCGTCAGCCGCCCTCAAACTGTTGTACAAATTAGAACCACGGGGCATATATATATATATATATATGTCGGGAAGACACAGGCGGGATCCTCATTTCGAAGAAGAGACGCCCTTCATACGAGCAACGGCTGCACACGTGCAAAACAAATGTGCGAAAGGCTTCTGGCGCGACCCCAGTTCTGAAAACCATCACCACCACACATCCATCCATACAGTAGGGGCTCGACCACAAGAAGCCTTCCACAAGAAACCGAATCCTGAGACCCCGGGACGTCCATTGATTGTTAGTGCGGGCACGTCACGCTTTCCATCGCAAAACCATGGAAAACCCAAGGCATCCTTGAGGCAAGCAGGTTGTTTCTTGGCATGGGTGTCCACTGTACATTCATCAATACGCAAAGTGTGTTTTAGCATGGCTGCGCGACGCCACAGCGAGAACCCCTTTGTGCAAACGACGTATGATCCTCCCGTGCAGCGGCTGGTTACGTACAGCTTCGGAATCATACAACGCGAGGAAGCCTGAGGCGAAACGCACGGCCCGCCCTCACGACACGCCTGGTGGTGCAGCAGAGAGGAGTTATCTGCAAGGAGAAGGAATGAGGAGGGAGGGGGGAAAAGAGTGGAAGTCTGGGAGATGAAAGAGGATGAACAAGAGGGGGCGCACGTGTGGGGAATGGGTCTGTTTATCCGCCCACCCTACTCGTTGGCGCTCTAGAAGAATCCAGCGCCTGAGTGATGCGGCGGACGGCCTGTGACCGCCGCGCGACCGCACGAACTCGAAAGACGAGGAGGAGGAGGAGGAGGAGGAGGAGATGAAGGAAAACAACGGCTACGTCAGACGTCGGAGGTCTGGGAATGGGGGCTCCTCGAGCCTCGATCCCCAAGCTTCGATATTCGATCATCGATCGGCGACCCCCTGCGCTGAGGCCCGGGCGAAGACGCCAAACTCCATGACGCGGGACACCTTGCCGTTCACCGTGTCGCCGACTTTGAGCTCGCTCAGGGACGTCGAATCGTCCTTTTTTTCCGCCCGCGAGGGGGGACGTCATGGGGGAACGTAGACAGAGGGAGCGAATTTTCAAAGTTCGGCTCTCGATGTTGTCGGACGCTCTCGTTGGTTCCAGGCGGCTTTCCAGCCTCGGGATGCCTTCCGATGGCTGCGCCTAGCCGAGAGCGTTCCGCGGGTGGCCCAGGCCCGAGTTATGACCCAAAACACACCGGGGAATCGGATCAAGCGGGGCGGGGGGGGGGAGGGGAACATGGAGTTGGGATCGGCGGCGCATCGCCGATAGGCCCCCGATGGCGAGTCAGCACTTTCCTGGGAGTAAGCTATAAGGCCACGGCGCATCGGCGATCCATGGGCGATCGGGGGCAGATGCGCCCCCCATGAGCCTTTCCCCCCCTTACATTGCCCGCTGAGCCCAGGGGGCGACTGGGGAGATGTTTTGCTTTGTTCGCTTCGGGTGGGGGCAACCAGGGAAAACATAATTCGTCAACAACTGGCCTTCGGACAGCCGAAAGGCTGCCGATGCCCATTCGGCTTAAGCAGCCCTGCCCCCGAGGATATGATGATGTTCATGATGATGATTTTGATGAAAATAAAAACAAGAAGAAGAATAACATGATGCTGATGGCGACAATGATGGTAACAGTGACGATGCCGATGATAATGATGATGATGATGAAGATGATCACGTTGACGACGACGACGATGACAATGAGAACGGTGATGATGCTGGTGATGGCCATGCTGATGTTAAAAATGGCAATGGTGATGATGATGCTGATGATAATGATGATGACGGTGTTGACGATGTTGGGGGTGATGATGGTGTCGATGATGATTTTTGCCCTTCCCAGGACTCTCCTGCCGGGTACCTTCATCGAAGACAGCGTCGAAACAGCTGAGTCGACTGAACAACTCTTCACACCATCACGCATTCGGACAGCCTTGCTCATGGCAGCACGACGCCTCCTTCGTACATCCCTGTTTCCCCGATCGTCAGCCAGGTCAGAGGACAGGGCATTCATGCTAGTGTCTATCGTGGCCAGCTGTCACCTCAAGGCGACGACTTGACGAACAAAACTCTTGGCATGAGCAACAAGCGAGCACTACGTTGCCAGCGCTACGTTACGAATGACAAGAGGGTGAACGCCCATGTGCGGCTAGCCTTGGGAAACCATGGACATCACGGGGGTCGGCAACTCCTTGAACGTCGCCCAATAAAAGACCGGCATTTCCGCAAACGACAACTGGATGAAGATCAGCACGAACGTCACCAGAAAGAAGCCCAGCACGATCGCCATCTGAAGGAAGATCAGCTCGAACGGGCTCTGGAAGAAGATCGACGCGAACGCCGTCGGGAAGAAAAGCGGTACGAACGTCGTGGAAGAAGATCGACACGCACGTCGTCTGAAAAGCAACCGGCACGAACGTCATCTGGAAGAAGATCGGCTCGAACGACTTCGGGATGAAGATCCGGTGTTCCACGAACGCCATCTGAACGCAGGGCATCGCGAACGTCGTCTGGAAAAAACTCGGCACAAACGTCACTTGGAAGAAGATCGGCCCGAACGTCTTCAAGAAGAAGACCGGATTCACCCTGAACGCCTTCTGGATGAAAACCGGGACGCACGACATCAGGAAGAAGAGCCGCTCGAACGTCATCATGGGGAACATCGGCTCGAAAGACGTCTGGTGGAAAACCGGCTCGATTATCATTATGAGGAAGATCAGCACGACCGTCATCCGGATGACGGTCAGCTCGAACGGCATCAGGAGGAAAGTCGGCTCGAACGTTTTCAGGAAGGAGATCGGTTCGAACGGTACCCGGAACACGATCGGCACGCACGTCGTCAGGAAGGGGATCTGCACGCACAGCGTCTGGAAGAAGATCGGCCCGCACCCATTGTAGAAGAAGATCTGTCTTCCTCGAAAATCGATTGGATGAAGATCGGCACGGACGACATCATCGGCGGCGAGCGCGGGGTGGAAGTGAGAAGGGGCGAACCTTCTCAGAAGGTTCGGAAGTCCCCTGGCCTGCTGCAAACAATTCTGAGCCTTCCCCGAAGACACGAAGAACTTCTCAGAAGGCGCGAGGGCTTCTGAGCAGTCCCGCCGCCTTCTGAGAAGGCCTCCTCCTTCTCATTTCCCCCCTCCCGCGCCGCCGACATCAGGAAGAACGGCCCGAACGTCATCTAGAAGAAGATCGGCTCGAACGACGTCTGGTGGAAGATCAGCTCGTACGGCGTCGACAAGGTGATCAGCACGAATGTTAGCAGGGGGAAGATCAGCACGAACATCATCTGGGAGAAGCTCGGCTTCTCCAGCAGCCTCCCACAAACGAAGCGCCCAACGATCAGGACCTTCAGGGACGGGTGGAGGAGCAGTTCCACATAGATGATTGGCAAGAACGGCTTCACCATCTCCAACTGTGTCCATGACGCGCTCCAAGGGCACCCACAACGCAAGCACAACGGCCACCTCCATAGGCCGTCACTTCTCTCCTCATCGCCAGACTGGGGCACCTCTTCACCATAAGAAATATGGGTCCGGTGTGCTTTGAGCAGCGGCCCAGTCGACCAAGGATCGCACAATTGGAGAAGACCAAGGGTCCGCAGAACGACCAGCACCACGAACAGCACGATGCGGACGATCGCGTGGAGACCCACCGCCTCCAGGGCCGTCGTCCCCGCCAGGGCCATCAGGATCACCAACACAATGTGGCCCACGAACACGAACGTAAGGATGTTTCAAAGAGACCCACATGTGGGGATCGCCTGCAAACGGAGAGCGCCCATAATCAGCAACGACGATGTCCTGCAGCGAGTTGAGCACCGCCTGAACGAGAAGGTTCGCGTAGCTGTTGACCGAGTGGCAACGATGATGACGACGAAGATAATGATAGTGGTGATGATCATGATATCATGATGATGGTGACGACGACGACGACGATGATGACGATGCGAATGATGATGATGATGATGATGATGATAATGATGATGGTGATGATGATGACGATGATGATGATGATGATGTGGTGGTGGTGGTGATGACGACGACGATGGTGGTGATTATGGTGACGATTATGGTGATGACGATGGTGGTGATGAAGATGATGGCGATGATGATGATGATGATGATGATGATGGTGATGGTGATGGTGATGATGATGGCGATGATGATGGTGGTAATAGTGATGATGTTGGTGGTGATGATGACGATGACGATGGTGATGGTGCTGGCGATGGTGGTGGTGATGATGATGGTGATGACGATGATTAGGATGATGATGACAATGCTGATGGTTGTGTTGTTGATGATGACGCGTAGTATGACGATGATGGTGATGATGAACACGATGGAGATGGTGATGATGATGCTGGTAGTCATGGTAATAATCCGAAGGATGACGATCATACTAACAACTAGTACTAGCGTGATACAAATAACACTCAGAATAACAGTAATAATACGATTGAAACGAATAATAGCAAGAACACGACCAGGAATTGCAGATACCAATACAAAAAAAAATCCGGATGATAATATTAATACTGGTAATATTCAGAATGGTGTTAATAAGAACACGAATAAGAATGCGAATGACGACGATGCTGATGATGATGATGATGATGATGAAGATACGGATGCTAATCATAGTTGTGATGATAGTGGTGGTGGTGATGGTGACTCTGCTGATGATGCTGATAATGATGATGATGATGAGAATTAGAGGGATCGCTACCCACGCTCAGCGGGTTTAGGGGTTCTCGAAAAGTACTCCTGTGCGTCCGGAGAGGCGCGGAACCCAAACGGACGCCTGCAAGCGGGGACCCTTCGGCCAGGTCAGACCGCAGTCGCGTGCCCCGCCCCTGCCAGCGGAAGCAGGCCGGAAGCAGGGAGGGAGGGGCAGGGCGTGAGGAGACGAAGGTGGAAGAGGGGAGAAGGGGGGGGGAGGGAGGAGGACAGGGCGAAGGGGGAAGGGGGGGGTGGAAGGGGGAAGGGGAGAAGGTGGAGCGGAAGGGGCAGGAGCGAGGGAGGGAGGAAGGGGGAGGGGGGCGGGGGGCGCGGAAGGGAGGCGGCTACAGCCACGAGGGGAGCGCACAGGAGGAGGTGGGGAGGGGGGGGGGGCGCCGAGCACGCGTGGCGGGGCTCGCGGACGTGGGCTCGACGAGCTGCTCCAAAAGGGCGTGGGCTAGCCCTCGCTCGTGCTGCATCGGATGGCGCCAGCTGTGCGCTGAGCTGCGTCCCGCGCTGCGCCCCTTCCCCCCGATTCTCCGCCCTCTCCGAGCTGGGAAAGCAGGAACTGTTCACGCACGCCGATCCTGGCCAGGCCCGTCCTGGGCCCAGGATCGGCGCACGCGCGCTCCCCGCCAGGCCAGAGGGGCGTGCGCACCGCCCCTGGGCCAGGGATGGGCCCGGCCAGGATCCGCGCAGGTGTGTGTAGCTGGCGCCCTCCGGCCGAAGCACATCGCGCAACGAGTGGGCGCAGGCCGTCGGGCCATCTGCCCGCAGGCCCTCGCGAAGCGCGAAGCCTGCCCACGGCCGTCTGGGGGACCCACGGGCGAAGAGGGCCGCTCCAGCGGCAAGTGGGCTCACGCGCGGCGCACGAGCACCGAGGGCGGGCGCCCCAGGAGCGAGAGCAGGAGACGGCACCCGAAGCGCCCGAGCGCGGGCCGCGAAGGAGTGCGGGGCGGTGGCGCCATGGCGCCGTGGTACCAGCAAGGGAGAACCTCACCTGCCGAACCCAGCCACACGGGTCAAGATCCCACCTCGAATACCAGCCTCAGACGACAACCTACGGCAGCCAGGCGGGGCCAAAGCGTGCACCATACTCTCACGGCCCCGCCCTGCCCACGCAGTGGCTTCTGGAGACAATGACTCCCACAACCACTGGCATCTTTTCGGGGCGCATATGCTACTTCCGCCGGCTCCGGCTGGACTTACCCCGGCTTCCGCAGTGCAGAGGCGCCCTTGACTCGCCGACGCCGCTTGCTCCGCGCCCGGACTCCACGTTGGGCAGCCTGCAGGCCAAGGTGTCCAGGTGCTCTTCACAGCGCGCCGTCGCTGCTGACGTCCTTCGCCGCTGGCGCAACGCCGAGGAGGCATTCGTTTTCTGCGAGGGGAAGGCCGGAACCGGAAAGTCCATGCTGGCGCAGTACATCATTGCGATCGTGGAGGCCGCCGGCGACGTGGTCATCAACGTTGCCAGCATAGGGCACGCTGCTTTGCAACTCCCTCATAGGGCCACGGCGCACTCCGTCTTTGCCATCCCTGTGGACGATGCGCCGGAGCTGTTCAGCAACCTCAGCGTCCGTTCTGCAGCGGCTCTCCACATCGCCCGCGCCCCGATCATCCAGTGGGATGAGTGGCCGCGCGTTCGCAAGGCAGCCTGGGAGTCCGTCCTGAGCTTGCTGGACGCGCAGAAAGCCCAGCACCCCCGAGAATACCGACCTAAAGTCTTCATACGGCACGGGGACTTCCGCCAAATCCCCCCCGCCATCCCGAGGGCCAGCCGCCACGTCATCGCCCAGAACACCGTCCAGACCTCCTCGTCGCGGTCCAAGTTCACCCGGTTCCACCTTTCCCGCGTCTGGAGACAAGCTGAAGACGTTTCCTTTTGCCAGTGCATAGACGGCATCGGCGACGGCACGCAACCCACTCGGAGCAGCAACGCCGGTGACTTGGGATTCGTGCCCCTGCGCGACATCGCCACCGTGGCAGACGAAGCAGCGGCCGCCCGACAAGCATTTCCCCACGTCAACGACCCGCACCACTGCGCCAACGCCAAGATCCTCGCCGCCGTGAACACGCTGATGGATGCGCACAACGAGCGCATTCTGAACGTCTTGGAACGCACTTACATTCGCCCTTCCTACCACCTGCTCAGCGCCGACACGTTGGACGTCGATTCAACGGGCCTCATCGAGCCGCACCTGACAGCAGAGTTTCCCACGCTCCAGAACGCCCCAGGCGCACCGCCCCATGACTTGCACATTGTGGTCGGCGGCCTGTTCGAGCTCATGAGGAATTTCAACCCTGTCGAGCGACTCATGAACCATGTCCTGGTCGTCGTGAAGGCAGTCCACCACCATCACACCCTTAAAGAAACCTTGGACGGCCGCGAGTATCCTTTACCTCGCATCGTGTTCCGCTGGCAGATTGCCAACGGCACGTCCACCATGGCCCGTCGACAGTATCCTCCGCGGGCTGCGTACGCGTCCACCTTCAATGGGGGGCAGGGCCGCACGCTCGCGCGCGCGTGCCTGAACGTGCGCCGAAGCCCCTTTGCCCATGGGCATCTCTATGCGGGCGTCACTAGAGTCAAGAACCGCGACGATATGCGCGTTCCCCCCGATTTTGAGAATTTGAACCAGAACGGCAACGCCTTAGTGCGCAACGTCGTCTGGCCCGAACTGCTTCTGCGATCGGACCCACCCCGTCCGAAGTACCCTGGACTCACGCCGCGCAAGCGACCTGCCGCTTGCCGATAATGATCGCAGACATAATACGTGCCCATCCCTTCTCGAAGCGTCCGTCGCCGCCCCGTCTCCCGGCAATGACCTTCACCCCCCCCCCCAGGTCATTGGCGTCGACCCCTCGTCGTACCGACCCCTGCCACTCTCCGACAATCGTCGCACCCGCCCCACCACGTCGACATCGTCCTCCTCCTCGTCCCCCTCCTCATCATCATCCTCTTCATCCAAATTTGAACTCCTTCTTTCATTCGCTCACCCCGCTGACGCTCATGGCGTTCTTCCTTGACCGCCATGACCGCGACCCCCCTCGTGGTCACCGTTTCCTGTCACCTTTCATCGGTGACCATGGCCTCGTCGCGAGAGATCGGCCTCTCCCAAATAAAGGAATGCCTGTGGCCCGCCCGGGAAGATGACCGCGACCCCTCTCATGGTCACCACGTGCTTACAGCATTCATTCAGTCACCGAGTGCTCGGTTGCGCGTGGGCGCAGGACCAAGATTGAGGCGAAGCGAAGCGAGCCCTCAAATCTTGTGTATATACATAAATTATCAAACAACCAGCGAAATCATAATACTCGAGCAAATGACGAGGGAGCGTATCAATCATCCCCCTCCCGCTCCCTCTGGCCATCGCCCTCGCCCCCCCCATCGCCCTCCCCCCCCTCATCTTCCATCCTCTCCCTTGCTTCACCGTCCCCCTCCCCTCCACCCTCAACACTTCTATCCATTGACTAGGACGCCCATCCATCACACACACACACACACACCAGCCATCCATCGAATTCGCACCGCCCCCCAGCCGCAATCACCCATCCACCCATCCAAAGCTCATTTATCAACGTCCCATCGATCGTCATCACCCTCTCCTGCCCCATCTTCAACCACCATGGATACTCAGCCCCCCATCATTTGACAACCGCGTGGATCAAGGAGCCACGAGCCTCCTCTTGGTTATTCAAGGCCTCGGTGGAGCTCACCTCGAGCCGGCTTGTGGTGGAGTCAGACGTGACGACGAAGAGGTTATCGATCTCATCGCCCTCGTTATACCTGTAAAAGATGGCACATGCCGAATGCATGCTTGAAAAATTGTGAGCACCTAATCACATCCGCCATGCCGTGCGAGCATAAACACTACATCAATGGTCCCCCACTACCCCTACATCCATACTGATGTTCGCATGAGGGTGTGTGCAGATATTTGTTTACAACAAGACGGGCCTATGAGTGTCGTGCGAAGGATCATGGAGAAGGCTGGCTGCACTCGCCCCGTCAGGCTGCCAGAATGGCAAGGAACGTGTGGATCCACCACGGCGCCTTCAGCACGCAATGGAGCGCCCCCAGGCCCATACGGACGAGTGTTGGAGGAACTGCAGGATACTTCAAGGGCCCGGAGGCCCAGATTTAGGTCGGGCATGTCCCCTTACAGGGGAACTTTGGACGAAAAACAAAAAAAAAACTATACGACCACCCTTCGGGTGATAAGAAGGTTGTGGGGGGGGGAGAGGGGGGGAAACAACGTCTGACTCAATCGTTCTCACTATCGATCTCACTCAACGGGACACCACGGGACACCACAGGACACCACGGGACACCACGGGACATCAAGGGACACTTGTCGATCTCACTATCGATCTCACTATCGATCTCTCTCAACGGGACACCACGGGACACCACGGGCCACCACGGGACACCACGGGACACCGCGGGACACCTCTAGATCTCACTATCGGTCTCACTATCGATCTCACTCAACGGGACACCAAAGGACACCACGGGACACCACGGGACACCTCGGGACACCACATCGATCTCACTATCGATCTCACCATCGATCTCACTAAACGGGACACCGCGGGACACCACGGGACACCACGGGACACCTGTCGATCTCACAATCGATCTCACTATCGATCCCACTTTTTGGGACACCACGGGACACCACGGGACACCTCGGGGCACCACATCGATCTCACTATCGATCTCACCATCGATCTCACTATCGATCTCACTTTTTGGTACACAACGGGACACCTCGGGGCACCAAATCCGATCTCAATATCGATCTCAGTATCGATCTCACTATCGATCCCACTATCGATCTCACTATCGATCTCACTCAACGGGACTCCACGGGACACTACGGGACACCACGGGACACCACGGGACACCGCGGGACACCGCGAGCCACCGCTGGACGGACGGGCGGGCGGGGGGGAATCATTTGTCTTGACTTCGCCCTAGCAACAGCGGACACCACGGGACACCACGGGACACCGCGGGACACCGCGGGACGCCGCCGGACGGGCGGGAGGGGGAGAATCATTTGTCTTGACTTCGCCCTAGCAACGGCGGACACCACGGGACACCACGGGACACCACGGGACACCGCGGGACACCGCGGGCCACCGCCAGACTGGCGGGAGGGGGAGAATCATTTGTCTTGACTTCGCCCTGGCAACGGCGGACACCACGGGACACCACGCGACACCACGGGACACCGCGGGACACCGCGGGACGCCGCCGGACGGGCGGGAGGGGGAGAATCATTTGTCTTGACTTCGCCCTAGCAACGGCGGGTTCATTCCTCTCGCGCGCCCACGCAGCTTCGCCTCGCCCGCACGCACGACACGAACGAAACGAAAGGATTTCCCGGTTGGGGGTCTCCGTTCCACTGCGATCTCACCCCCCAACCTCCGACTTACAAATATCCAAAAATAGTCAAAAAAATGCTCACAAAATGGTCCCCAGGCTATGCTTTACTATTTTTGCATATTTCTCCTGTAGAGGGACAGGCCCGATTTAAGCCCAGATCAACCCTGTCGCATACTCCTTGGGCGTTCTGGCGTTTCTCGCGCGGGCCTCCAGGTAGCCAAACCTGCCCAAACCCCAAACCGACCCTACCATCTCACAAGAGCCTTCCAAGAAACGCTCAGAGGCCCTAGGACCCTCAGTAGCCCCGAGAAACCGGCCTGGGGCTTTCCTGTGGGCATCCTGGTCCGTTTAAAACGCACTGGAGGCGAGCCGAAGAGGCCAACATCATTGAAAAATGCAGGTGGCCGTGTGAATTTCGCATACTCGGCTTTCCCCCAAGAGAGCCCCTAGACAGCAAAGAAAAACCTCCCAGAGGCAGCCCCTGCGGGCCCCGAAAGGAGCCCAAAGAGGTCCACCCAGGAGAGGAGAATCGAAGGGAACGTTGGGCTCCACACCCCGAGATGGACCCAATACACTTGCGAACCTTCTCGTGGTGTCGACTTACCGAGGCCTCAGCCTAACATCAATATCTCGCCTTCTGGTGTTCCGAGCTTCCAATACGAGCTCCGGGGTAACCACGCAGCACAAATCGTTGAAAGCCGTGGGATATGTTTGATTTGTACGGCGTCGACTTGACGATTTCAGTGAGGGCGTCCACGACAGCCCCCTTGTCACTTCTCAACAATGCTCCATCAGTCAAAATACCGCTGCCGGCCTTTCATGTTTTCTCTGCCGGTGCGTTACCTTCTGGCTGTGCTGG